AGGCCTCCTCCTAATTACGACGGCCTCAAGAGGGCCCCAAGATGGTCCATAGGCCCCCAAGCGAACCCGAGCACCATCGGGACCGTCCCGGATCGGCGGCACTGGCAGGTAGCCACTACAGTCTCCGGCAACAGCTTTCGAATACTTCTAGTTCGCGCGCGCGTGGCTGCCCCCTGGGGAAGCCCAAGACGACACGCACCCCACGCAAATCCTGAGCGGTCCTCGGGCGGTCCAGGGGCGCTCCCCGTCACGGATGCCCGAACTCCTGGGAGCTGCTTCAGGGCCTCCGCGAGCGTCTCAAGGGGCTCCCAAGGCGGTCTACGAGGGCCAAGAGTCACCAGAGGTCGTTGCGCGATGCCTAAGATAGCATCCAGACGGCGTCAACCGCCTCAAACACGCCCGAAAATGCCTCCAAGACCACTTCCAAAAAGCCCCCTGGACGCACACTTAAACGATTGCCCATTGGCTTTGTGAAGGCTCTCAGCGTTCTCATCGTTTCGGCCGCCGACGCTGTAAGATGGCCCAAGAAGCCGATGGCCCATTACACGTCGGTCGGAAGACGTAGGTAAAAGCATGAAGTAGGAAGGCGGATCAAGTAGATTGGGTTCAGGACCTCCCAGAGAATAACAAACCACAGAAAAAACGGATCGGTTCTTGAAGTAGGAAGGCGCTTGAAGAAGATTGGGATCTGAGAACTCAAAAATACGTACTTTCAACGACCGGCGTGCACGCCTCCAGGAAAGCCCCCAAACGGCCAACGGACATCTCGAGCGTGCGGCCTCGAGATCGCCCCCGGGAGCCCCCCCCCCAGGCCTCCGAAGAGCTCTCAATAGGCGTTCGGCCTCCAGGTCGCCCCCCAGAGGGCCTCCCTCAGGCCTCCGAGGAGCTCCCGGTAGGCCCCACGAAGCTCCCGAGCGGCCTCCAGGAGCCCCCCAGGAGGGTCCAAGAGGCCCCCAAGGGGCCCCCAAGAGAGCCTCGAGAGGCATCCAAGGCCCCCTCAGGAGGCCCCCCAAAGAGCTCCTGACACTGCTGCACGGCAGCCCCCCCGAGCGTTCTCCGAAGAGACACTAGGAAGCATCCGTGAGGACCCTCGCCCACGACCGCAGCAGCACCAACCAACAGCGCCGCATGGCCCACGAACGCGCAGGCCAACGCCAAAGATGGCACAATACGGGCCGGCGGAATGACCGAAGCGATAACATGAGGAGCCTGGCACCTTGACGGCGAATCCGCAAGGTGGGCGACATGGAGGTATGCACTGGAAAACTGGTGGAACACCATCGGTCGCGCTGAGAAGCGATGAGAAAACTGTGATGACAACGAAAACGATGCAAAAGGACAGCGCCCCGCGAATCCTGCCACACCGCCAGGGCCGAATGCGTAGACGCTGGGTGCCCATTAGCCCTGGGCCACTCACGTCAACGACTCTCGCCGAAATCTCTGGGCGCATTAGAACTTAGCTTGCAAAATAGTTCGTGCACTGGGGGCTCCTTCAGTGGCGCCGCAACTGCACTCTGTCGCACGAGCACAGACTTCCTCTCATCATACTTCCCCGTCTGCCCCACCACGCTGCAGCTCGACGCTGTCGCGACGCAGATGCACACAATGCGGAATAAGTATGTGTCTGAGGCGTTGCGCGTGGAGTGCGTTCAAAATGTCTTCGTGGGCTCGAAGAACCCAAACGGGCTCGAACATGCACAGCGGCTTCAGCACCATGATGCCGCGACACGGTCGAATATTTCCTCGCGAATGGAACACTCGCAAGCGGCCAAACATGAGGAAGATCCTTGTATATCCCTCGGCCCTCCCGACCCCAAATCGGCGGGTGAACTCAAGACTTTCCAGCACTCCCTGCGCTGAGAAGACGTCGCAACAACTGTTCTCAACGGCTCATCGTCTGTATCTTTCGGAGAAAACCAGCATTGTGAATCCGCGTGGGGACGGCCTTCCGAACAACTCATGCCTACACACGCCGCTTCCCCCCATCCATGACCGCTCCGAGCAGCGAGCACTATCCAAATATTTGAGCAAAGATGATCTCACTGCTGGTCCTGGCCACGATTGGATTTGGGAAACGGCAGGCTCCTGAGACACCTTTCACTGGGAACCGTCGCCTTTCACGTCCTGAAGCGCCTCTCCAGGAAGGCTTCCGAGGTGCCCCAGGAAACTGCGTCACGAAAGTTCGGGAAATCAGGGAACAGATGAGGGGGGTGGAGCCATCATCAGAGGCACATCGAGCCCACACTGTGCGCAACAACAAACTGCACCAACCCCGCAATCTATATCAAACCAAATTCCTCTCCTCCGCCTTCGACTCGTCCAATGTCCGAGGCTCCACTGAGATGAACCATGCGTGCGCACTCCCCGACAACCGCGCGCGGCGGGGTTGCCCGCAGACGAAGTGGGGGCCGAAGGCACCGCCTGTGTTCTGCGGGGGGGGGAGGGCTACAAAGATTCAGAGATTCCCCCCTGTGCGCAGTGATCGGCGCCTTGGCACCTTGCAGTACCGTAGCACCCCGCAGATGCGGATACGAGTGAGGGGGCTGTGGGCACGTCGGCAGTTGGCGAGACTCTGGAGAAGCCCGCCTCAGGCGCCAATGTTTCACAAATTATACAACGAGCCCGCCGCCGGGCACCAATTTTTTGGTTAAACCAATGTGGGTCGGTCGCGGGTGGGTCGCGGGTGGGTCGCAGATGGGTCGCTGTTGGGTCGCGGGTGGGTCGCGGGTGGGTCGCTGTTGGGTCGCGGGTGGATCGCGGGTGGGTCGCGGGTGTAGAGGGCAGGATATCCACCCCATAAGAATCGCCCCGACAAGCGATGCCGTTGAGTAAACGCAGACAAGGAATGAATCGAACAGGGCAGGGCTGATTAGTCAACGCCCAGGGCCGTTTAGTAAACCTCAATTGTTGGGTCCGGGTGATTGTTCCTCCCTTGAGGGTGGGTCGCGGGGTGGGTCGCGAGTGGGTCGCGGGGTGGGTGGCGGGTGAGTCGCGGATGGGGCGCGGATGGGTCGCTGGGTGGGTGGCGGGTGGGTCGCGGGGTGGGTCGCGGGTGGGTTGCGGGTGGGTCGCGGGTGGGTCGCGGCGTGGGTGGCGGGTGGGTCGCTGGGTTGGTCGCGGGTGGGTCGCGGGGTGGGTCGCGGGGTGGGTCGCGGGGTGGGTCGCGGGTGGGTCGCGGGTTGGACAACGACAACAAACAACAACAACAACAACAACAACAACAACAACAACAACAACAACAACAACAAAAACAACAACAACAACAACAACAACAACAACAACAACAACAACAACAACAACAGCAACAAGAACAAGAACAACAACAACAACAACAACAACAACAATAATAACAATTACTAGCACGTGGGGACACACCGTTCTCACCAGTGCCAGGGTTTTCATAGGAGGCGGGCAATACCCCCACTTTGTGGGGGGGCCGGTTCAAGCTCTACCAAATTTCCAAACGACTCTTCGCCACCACCCACACCCAGCTTCCCGCCCTATGACGTTCGGACACTTCACTTCGTGGCATGCGGACGACCGTGGCTACTATTCAGGGCCCCGCGGCCGACGACGACGGCGTGCGCGCGCGAAGAAAAAACGAATGTGTCCCGCATGGTATTATTTGACAGGGATGATGGCCCTGGCAGGTGCGCAACCGTTGTTGCAGAAGTTCGAAAAAGTTGCTCGCAAAAGCCCGTTTGACAGAAATGATTAAAAAGTGTTGGGTTTCCTACGAATCCGCAAGAGCGCGCGGGATGAAATTTTGACAATTTTTTTTTGAAAAACCATTGGTTTTTTGATGTTTTTATGTTAAAATCGCTACGAAAACTAAGGTTTTGGAAGGATTTCGTCTTGCGCGCGCGAATGTCCACTTTACCTTATTTTTTGCAAGGGATTCTTGAAGTTTGGTTATGTTAGAACAAGAAATGTCCACTTTAGCTTATTTTTTGCAAGGGAAAACCGATCGTAACAACACAACCGGATCCGGACTCCCCCGTTTTGCCTGAGACCTCCTCGCGAAAATGATGAAAATGAGGCTGCGGCCTAGGCGCGGCGGGGGGGTCGTGCACCAGGGGCCCCAACAATAATTATTCTTTAGAAGTAATAATGTTCAACAACAATAACAACAACAACAACAACAACAACAACAACAACAACAACAACAACAGCAACAGCAACAGCAGCAGCAGCAGCAACAGCAGCAGCAGCAGCAGCAACAACGCAACAAACAAAATTCTGACCACGAATTCCTTATTCAGCCACGCACCCAGGGACAATGAATGGCCGTTCGGCCCTCTCACTCTGATTAGAGGCCTCCTAGACGCGGTCGGAGTAGATGGGGTCGGAGTTCAGAGGATCGCGCCGCAGCGCCGATACATCGGCGATGCATCGGCGATGTATAGGTGATACACGGACGATGCATCGTCGACGTCGGCGATGCATCCGCGACGTCGGCATGGAGAAAATCGGGCTCCCCATCGCGCCGCATCGCCGATACATCGTCGATGCGGCGCGATCCTCCGACCCCATCTGCTCCGACCCCATCTAGGCGGCCTAGAGATCGGCGCATTGGCCCCTTGCAATATTTGCGTTGTTCGAAACACTAGGGATAAAGGTCCGGCATCGCCCGTCTCCGCTGGGATCTTCCGGAGCCGTTTCGCGGCAATGGCCCGTGTCTTTTTCTTGTCAGCGCGCGGACTGGGCCCCCATGTGGTCAGCATCGGATCGGATCGGTAAAGCAAACTGTCGGCATCAAAACTTGCATCCGATCGGGCTCTGTCGGCACGGAACGAAATCGCATCGACTCAGCGAATCGGGCCAAAATAATACCAAATCCTGCAAGCGCCGAACCGCATCGGACCTCCCGGACATCGAAAGCGAATCGGACCGAGCGGGGCGAAATCGGCATCGAGCCAGATCGATCGAATCGAAATTGGCGCGCAACTGGTAGGAACCGCCGCCGCGCACCCCAGAGCAGAGGAGCAAGACTGGCCCTCCTGCTCGCTCCGCGCGGGCCCTGGGGCGGCATCTGCCTGTGCACGGAGCCGCACAACAGAGAACGAGGAGGCGGTGGGAACGACCCTGACGTGCGCGGATGCCCAGCAGAGGCGCAAGGGAACAGGGAGACGAGACGACCCAGGCCAGAGAAGCCTCAGCAATTGGACGGACCACTTGGATTTCCGGAATGGGGGCTGGGGCTTTGGTAGTTGAGCCCGCGCGCAAAACCAGCGCATCAGCATGCGACCAGAAAACTCGATCGCCAATTCTTTACCCCGAATGGTGGTTAGCGGGGCGGGGGTCCTGGGTGGGCCCTCTGCAACTCTGGCCAACCACCATGTAGATTATGGAATGGTGGTCAAGCCTGTCTGTGTAGCTTGTACGAGTATGCGGGGACCCGCCCTGGGAGCCCAAAAGCGCGACAAGCCTTCAGGTGACCTGTGCTCCGGGACACCGTTTGGAGGAGGAGGTTCAGGAGGACGGCAACGACGACAACGAGATGGGACCAGGACAACGCAGAACCCCGACGCTGTGAAAATGTGATTGTTCCACAACGTGAACCACCCAAAAGACTCGACACATTCGCCGGGATCAGTTTCGCCGATGTTTGACTGAAAGGACAGCCTACAGACCCCTGAAACTGCAAAAAACCGCCCGCCCTCATTTGTCCGAGCCGAGGGATGTCTCGCTGCCGTTTTCGTCGGGTTTAGCAGCGCACAACCCAAACTGATGAGCGGGGATACGCTGTGACAGTAGGGATTGGAAAGGTTTCTTGCGATGATGAATCGGGGATGGGGGGAAAATCCATCCAGAGAAAGTTCATTTAGTTAGGACGGTTTGGAGATTGACCGTCGCGGGCGCAGGCCTGCGACAACATGGCGGCAGCGTCACTCTCTCGAGGAGGCAAGAAGAGCCCCCAAGGGCGCATTCGTTTATAGACTTGGCTGGGTGCAGGCTCTGCCAACTTGGACGGCGCGCCCCAGGGGGGTAGCGCGAGCGGAACCGCCTTCTGAGACGGCAGGGGGCTTCTGAGAGGGCAGGGGCCTCTCCAACGAGCCTTCTCGGAAGCCTCTGGGCCCTTCTTCCAGGGCGGCCCCTGCCTTCTGAGAAGTCCCCCCCCCGCCTTCTCAGAAGACCGCCCCCCCGTGCCAAACCCCTTGGGGGGAAACGTCAGGGGGGGACCGGCTCACGGAGGAAACATCGACCTGGAATCGGCGATACGTCGACGAAAAACCGATGGCAGGCCCCCGATGGGAAATCCGCACGTTCTTAGGCGGGGTGAGATATATCGGGTCCCTATCAGCGATCAATGGGCGCTTGGGAGGTCGATGCGGGCCACCCCCTGCGCCTATCCCCCCCAATCGTTGCCCCTGACCTATGCGTGTGCAATAATATTGCTGTGCTCGGTCGGACGTTGCGTTGCGTTGCCCCTGACCTGTTGGAAACGGTTTCCCACCCCCATTCTTTTATCGCCAAGGAGCCCTGGAAGGCCGTGGGAGCAACAAAACGCTGGGCTGGGCCATCGGGCCCCTATTCGCGATCTATGGTCGATAGGGCATCGACGCATCCCCCCTGGTCCATGATGGTTTGCGGGCCGTAGAACGGGCCTCTACCCAAAAACCACCATGGCTCCATGGGTGGTAACGCATGTTGCCCCGTGGGGGGGGGGGGGCGCGCGGGCGGGGGGGAACAGTAACGGCGGCCGCGGCGTGCACCCGCCAGGGTGAGCCCGCGCCACCAGCACATCAATCGTCTGCGTGCACCATTCCTGTGTGCACCACACTCCCTGTGCACACGACAATGCCCAACACCTGCGTGCCAGTCCCTGTGTACACGACAATGCCCAACACCTACGTGCAACACATCGCCGCCTGCGTACACCACAGTGCCTCCGTACACCACGGCAGCCGCGCGCTTGACAGCACCACGTCGCCTGTGTACACCACAATGATTGTGTATACTGCGGCAGCCGCGTGCGCAACAGCGCCTGTGTACACCACGGCGCCTGCGTGCACTAGGATACGCGTGCACACCACAGTGCCTGTGTAACACAACGCCTGTGCACACCACACAACCTCCGTCCACAACAATGCAGGTGTGCACCTCACAACGCCACACATGCCAGCGGGCACCTTAGTAGCTTGCGAGCACCACGTTGCGCTTGTGAGCACCAGTGCGCCAGGGGCCTGCTACGAACCAAGTGCGCGACCAAGGGCCGCGAGGAACGCAACCTCGCACGCCCGCGCTGGGGTCGCCGCTGCGCCTTCCTTCCCCAACTGTCTGAAGCCAGAGGCAACAACGGACGACAACGCGAGTCTGCAGGACCCCCCCCCACAGTGGGGCCACCAATCTGTGAATATGCTGTTATCTGGCTCCCTCCCCCGTGCCACCTCCGACTCCCCCTCCGCCTCCGCCTCATTGTCCTGCCTCTCCTCCCCTGATACCAGTATGCTGACTCACATTGCTTGCAAAAACCACAACGCCCATGTACACAACAGAAGCCGCGTGCACCACAACGCCTGTGTACACCACAGTGCGTCCGTGCATCACCACGCCTGTGAGCACCGCAACGCCCGTGCACACTACAATACCCATGTGCCCTGAAGCGTGCGCGTCCGTCACAATGCCTGCATGCGCCACAATGCCTGTGTACACCGCAGTGCACTGGCCCTGCGTGCACGTCGATGCCTGAGTGCGCAGGAGCGCCTGTGTACCTCTTAGAATGTCCATTTGAGACTGCTTGGATTCACTCTTTGAGCCCAATTTACAAGCGTTGACGTCACGGTACAGGGAAGGGGGTAACACGCGCTTCCGCTGGGAGGGGTTAAAAGAACGATCACCTGGCGGCCGTTCCAGACGTTCCGAACCCCCCCTGAACGCCTCGGCGAGGCGCAGCTGCTAAAGGCATCCCGAAGCTGAAAACTGCCCAGACCCGACAGAACGCCCGAGAACTTCGAACCACGAACATCCCCACCTAACGTTGCAACTGACATGTGCGTGTGGCTGGCAGCCCCTCTCAACCGCGAGCAGCAGGACTCGCGGCCCTTCTTCGCCGTCTGGCTGGTGGAGAGGCGCGGTGATTGGTGGGAGAGGAGGAGGAGGAGGAGGAGGAGGAGGAGGAGGAGGAGGAGGAGGAGGAGGAGGAGGAGGAGGAGGAGGAGGAGGAGGAGGAGGAATAGAGTAGATCGGGGGTGGGCGGCGCTTCTCTCGTCCGCCACTTTGTCCCGCTAGCCTCGGCGGCGGGTCCGGGGGGGAAAGCGAGCCATGGGGGGCCTTCTCAGGAGACACAGACGTCCTCTCGACTTTCTGGAACAGTGTTTGCAGGCATCACCCGAAGGCGGAGAGAACTTCTCAGAAAACTGGCGGGCCTCTGAGAAGCCCCGAGGCCCTTCCCTGTTACGGGCCACCTACCAAAGCACCCCAACCCAACCTGCAGTCACCACTGGGCTAATCGATTTCCGGCGGGGGGGTACTCCAGGTGAGGAAATACGATAGATACCGTACCCCCCCCCCCAATCCGAAATTCGGGGTGGTCTAGGGTAAGCGGTCTGGGTGGGGGTGCCTTGGCAAATCTTAACTTCTGTCGATCCTCGCGCTCGCCCGACGCCGCCGTGCTCTCGACCTGCACGCTGCCGCGCGCAGGCCAGGACAGACGTCTCGGCCGGGCGACGCGCCCCGCAGCGTGCCCGAGAGAGAGGCGCGGCCCGCCTCCCGAGGCGCCCCCGTGCTCTGGCGGAGCCCCTCGGCGCCCGCGCAGCGCTGCGCGGGGCCGCTGGCGGAGCCGGCTGCGTCTGCGGCGCCTCGGTCTCAGCAGCGAGGCGGCCGCCCCGCCCCCCCCCCCCCGGAAGCAGACTCTTCCCCTCCCATTTTTCTGTTCTCCTCGCCCCCCGAGGGGTCGAGGCCCATTCCAGCAGCCAGAGCCCGACGAGAGCTTCACGACGGCGGCGCTACTGCGCCGATCGGCCTTCTGTGGGCCACGTTCAGGCTCCGGAGCCGAATCGACAGAATGGTGAGGGATGCGAGCCATCAGCCGCCCCCCCCAGACACCCTCGCGCCTTGACACAGATCGCGCTGTGCATGCTCCGGGTCTCTGAGCTGGGCATGGGCGATTCTGGTAGACACGCTGCTCCGCTCTTGCTGCTCCACTCGTCCCGCTCCAGGTGGCTCCAAGATGGCCTCCGAGAAGGCCAAGATGGCCGTCAGGTTCGCCTCAGATGGTCCAAGGTGGCCTCCACGACGGCCCCAGAGCCTCCAGGATGCTCCAAGTTCGCCCAAGACGCCTCCAGGCCGGACCACGACGGCCTCAAGATGACGGCACACCGCTCAGGAGGCCCCCAAAAGGCCCCCAGGACGGCCCAGGAGTCTTCAAAGAGGTCCTCCAGGGAGGCCCGAAAGCGCAACATCACTGATGGTCCGTTATAGGTGTTCGAAGGACTTGGGCGTTTGTTTCTTTCCGGCCTTCCGCCGGCCCGAGACGGCCCCGACGCCCACCCCTCAAAGATCGCCCAACAAAAACCGCCCAATGGGCCTCAGGAGCCACAGGGCGGCCCAAGAGGCCTCCAAGACGCCCATACTTGCCTCCAAAGCGGCCCTGGTGCACCCAAGAGGGCCCCAAGTCGGCCCAGAGAGGCCCCTAAGACGGCTTCCGACGGCGTCAGACGGACCAGGAATGCTTCAAAACGACCGAAGAGGCCCGCGAGAAACCCCAAGGCCAAGGAGGCCCCCAAGATGCCTCCGAAAGGCTCCCAGGAAGCTCCCCAAGAGGCCCCAAGAGCGCCACAGAGGATCCAAAGATGCCCCCTCCTCCTCCTCCTCCTCCTCCTCCTCCTCCTCCTCCTCCTCCTCCTCCTCTGTTTTGACGCTGTTCGGAAATACTGCGATAGCAGGTGGAGTTCTTGAAGTAAGGCAAGGAAACAAGTAAACAAAAAAACAACTTGGCGCACAAGTACCTGGCGGGCGCCGCGAGGCAGAAGGTGATAGAAGATTGGCGGCAAAGAGTAAAACAGTTAGTAGGCGCCCGCCAGGTACTGGAAGCATAATGTATATCGGTAAGTCACCGTCATAACTTCCAGAACCTTCCCCGATATGAAAAGGTACACATCGCCTACACTTCAAAAGTGAACAAGTAAATGTGATCGGCTGATGCGAGTAAAGTGACACAGACTGTAGTCTGGCCAGCGGTAGTGGCTGGCCTCCTGCAAGCCTGTGGCCAAAAGTGTTCCTCCCCCGCCCCCCCGCCCCAACCTAACATGGTAACCCCCGCGACCCCACAACTTTCAGATGAGAATAGACAATGTGAACTGAATAAGGTGCTGATCTGCAGAAGCTGTAGGAGACAAGCAACGGTGAGGGAGAACGAAGAGGCAGAAGAGAGGTTTGTTTTCCCCCGCTCCCCTTTTTTCCCGGTCGCCCTTCTCCCTTTTTTGCCCGCTCCCTTTTTGTTCCCCCGCTGGGCCGGCCTGAACCTTTTTTTCCGCGGGTCGCTGCGCGGCCCTTGCCAGGCCCCTGGAGGTCGCACTGGGATGCCCTGGAAGCCCCTTGGGAGGCCCAAGGGGCCTCGGGAAGCCCCTGCGATGCCCCTTGGGGTCCCCTGGGAGGCCCCAGAGGCCCCTGGGATACCCATGAGGCGCCTGATTCTGGTCGTCATTCGACTTTCGTTTATTTTTCTATGATTTTCGTCGACATCCGATTTTCGCAGATAGTTCGTCGACTTTCGTCGACGTCGCCGACGCTGGATTTTCAGAAATATTACGTCGACGTTCGATCTTCGTCCCTCTTTAATCGATTCTCGTCTACTCTCGATTTTCGCTGGCTCACCCAGAGAACTCAACAGGCTGCCTTCTAGCAAAGCACCCAGTATGCAACAGGCTCCGTCTCCAGCAGAGCACCCATTACTCAACAGCCCCCGTCTCCAGCAGAGCACCCAGTACTCGACAGGCTCCGCTGCCAGAGAGGCCCCTTCGGAACTTGCATTCGAAACCCGGCCCGCCCGCCCGACCGCCCGATCCGCCCGCCCTTCCCGCCAGCCCTTTCCGCCAAGCCGACCGCGCACCCAGTACTCAACAAGCTGCGTCTCCAGCAGACGACACAATACTCAACAAGCTCCGTCTCCACCAGAGCACCCAATACTCAACAGCCTCCGTCTTCCAGCAGAACACACAGTACTCGACAGGCTGCGCTGCCAGAAAGGCCCTCTTGAAATTTCACTCAAAACCAGACCCACCCGTCGTACCGCCTGACCTGCCCGCCCGAACTGCCCGCCAGCCCGCCCACCCGACCCGTCAATTGATGTTTGTGTTTTGTGTTGAATTGCGTCGACATGCAACTACCTCCTCCCTCCTCCACTTCATACGTCCTCCTGCGCCCGTCTCGCTCATGCCTGCTGCCTCCACCCACCTCCCTCGTCCTTTTCCTTGCAGTACAACGCATTGCAGCGCGTTGCAACGCATTGCAATGCAATGCAACGCATTGCCAGGAGGAGGAAGAGGGGGAGGGAACAAGGGGGGTGGGCGCAGGGAGGAGGGCGCAGGAGGAGGCAGGAGGTGGAGGAGGGAGGAGGAAGGAAGCAGAAGGGACCCTCCTTGGGGGGCTGGCCCCTCAAATAACAACGAGCGGTACTGAAGCCCCACGGACCCTCTCAATAGCCCCGCCTTCAACACACACACACACACGCACACATACACACGCACACCACCTACTCGACAGCCTCCGTCTCAAACACAACACCCGATACTCAACGGCCTTCGTCTCCGACACACCACCCATCTACTAGACATGATCCCGCAACAAGAGGGCACCTTTAGGGGTCCCACGACAATCCCAACCAGCCGGCAGTCCGCCGCCCGCCCGCCACCCGCCTTCGTCTCCAACACTACACTCGATACTCAACGGCCTTGGCCCCAACACAAACCCCATCTACTCAACACTCGCCCTCCAACGCCACATCCGACACTGAACGGCACCCGTCTCAAACGCGCACCCCATCTACTCAACAGCCTCCGTTTCTAAATCCACACCCGATAGTTACTCAACGGCGCCCTCCTCGACACACCACCCATGTACTCAACAGCATCCCGAGACAAGAGGGCACCCTTACGCAGGGCTTCTACTACAACCCTGATCTGGCGGTCGCCTGCCCGCCGCCCGCCGTCGTTTCCAACGCCACGCCCGACACTCAACGGCCCAGTCTCCAACACATTCCCCATCTACTCGACAACCTTCGTTGGTTAACCCCTCCTCCTCCTCCTCCTTCTCCTCCTCCTCCTCCTCCTCCTCCTCCTCCTCCAACTCCTCCTCCACCTCCCCCTCCTCCTCCTCCTCCTCCTCCTCCTCTTCCTCCTCCTCCTCCTCTTCCTCCTCCTCCTCCTCCTCCCTGTGCGCCTAAAGATTGCCATGCCCTGGCATTGGAGAGACCTCAGCCAGGCAGCAGCATCAGAGAGGAACGATGATGTTAGGATTCTGGGTCGGCTACGCGCACACCTGGAGAGGCCGCGAAGTCCAGGCAGAGAGGAGCCAACAAGAAGCTCAGAGAGGAAGGATGGGGAGGTGAAGAGGGGAGGGGGCGGAGGAGAAGAGAGACGAGAGAAGAGGGACGAGGAGGGACGAGGAAGGAGGGAGGAGGAGGAGAGACGAAGATAAGGGAATCAGAAGAGAGAGGAAAGGGGAGAAGGGATGAAGAGGACGAACGAGGAGGAGAGAAGAGAAAGGAGAGAGGAAAGAGGAGGAGGAGGAGAAGGAAAAGGAGCAGGAGGAGGGGCAAGCAGGAGGATAAGGAGGAAGGGGGGGGGGGGGGGAGGGGGAGGAGGAGGAGGAAGAGGAGGAGGAGAAGGGGAGAGGAGGGAGGAGGAGGAGGAGGAGGAGGAGGAGGAGGAGGAGGGGGAGGAGGGGAAGGAGGAGGAGGAGGAGAGGAGGAGGAGGAGGAGGAGGAGGAGGACGAGGAGGACGAGGAGGAGGAGGAGGACGAGGAGGAGGAGAAAAGAAAAGGGGGAGGAACAACAGGAAAAGGAGCACCTGGCGGCCGCGCCTCCTGAGACGGAGCGCGGGGGCGCGGCAAAAAGCGCGGGGCTCCCGTGTGGGAGGGCGCCAGTCGGATGCGCTAGCGGTTGGCAGCGCCACCAGTGCACGGAGCGGATCTGCGAAGTGGTGATTTATCCATATCCACCCCAATGGGACACCGACGTCCTGGGACCCCTGCGGGCGGCAACCGACGTCCTGGGACCCCAGCGGGCCATTCCTTTCTCCATATTTGATTTTTATACACACACACAAATATATATATATATATATATATATATATATATACATCTGTATATATATATATATATACGTATATATGTATAACATAGGTATATATATACATATATACATATGTATATGTACACACTCATATCTACAATCTATGTATACTGTATAAGCATATCGACTCTGGGTTTCTACCGACTGCCGAGGCCCCGAAGATGGATACCCTCGGCGGTGGCTGATAACTCCCAGCCTCGGAGGAGCGGAAACTCGTGGCACCTCGAATGGGTACTCGCCTCCTTTGGCGGACGAAAAACGGTCGGGACCGTAAATCATAAGCTGCTCCTCCATCGGGGGCGCTTGTCCCTATGCGGCTGGGAAGTCTATATTTCGACGGTGGCACTGTGGAGTATAAGCGTTTCAACCGCCCTGAGACAAGTGTCCCCGCTGACGGACAACATGATCTCATACTTCTTGTCGTCCGCAATGTGCGGCTCTAAGTGAGCGCAGCCCTTCATGGAGGAACGCGAAGAGGAGAAGATAACATGGGGGGGGGGTACTTAGATGCTACGAGACTGATGTCACGCAGGCGGCGACTGGGAGTGCTAATTGATAGATAGGCGATCAACCCGCGCGGGAGCGGTGACGCATGGTGACTCAGCCGGCCTTCGCTCCCCTCCATCGCCTGATCGCTCCTTCCCCCCCCTCCCATTGCCCTGCGCGCGAAAGCCTGGCCTCGCTGGCGTGCGCACCGCAGGCTCGCACGCAATGTGGGCGGCAGAAACATGCCACTCCTGGAACGCCCGCGCTCATCGCAACTGAAGAAAGTGTCGCGCGGACGAGCGGCGCACTGCGCCAGACGCTAGCTCTGGACCTGTCTAAGCAACGCACTGCTGCGCTGCACTTCGGCGGTCGTGAGCGCAGCCCCTCCCGGCGGAGCAGAGGAGACGAGATGATATCAGGGGGAGACAAAGGGCATGCTGCGAGGCAAGTGCTGCGGAGGCGAAACCTGGGGATGCGAACTGCTGGGAGGTCAGTCCGCGTGGGAGCGGTCACGCGGGGCGCCCCCTGCAAGCCTTCGCTCCCCCCCGTCGTTCCGTCCTTCCCCCCCTCCCAGTGGCCTGCTCGCGCGAGCTGGCGTGTGCGCTGCAAGATCGCACGCAGCATGGCTGGCGAGGGCTTGCCACTCCTGGAGCGCCCGCGCCCAGTGCAAGCGAAACAAGTGCCGCGCGGGCGAGCTTTTTATCGTGTCAAGTCCTACCTCTGGGCCTGTCTGAGCAACGACGCCCTAAATGGGCGCAGCCCTTCATTGAGGAGCGCGACATGAAGAAGGTGAGACGAGGCGAGAGCGAGAAGGGGCGATGACGAGGGCGGTGATGCTGAAGGCGATGCTGATGCTTCTGACTCTGGGTGTAATCGAAGCCTTAACCAACTCAGACTTTGCGGCTTGGACGCCTGGCATTGAAACATAACGCGCCGACTGCTCATCAGGGCCAGAAGAGCGGGGCGGAGGCAGAGGAAGGGCGGAAGGGTGCCAGTCCACCGACCCAAGCCTGGTAGGACAGCGGCAGCAAATACGGGAAGAAGAAAATGGGAAGGAGAGGGGGAAAATGGAGCCGACCGCTCCCGCGTGATAGCGGTGGTCAGCACTGCTTCTGGCAAACGAGCAACAAAATGTATAAAGAATGGCCGCTGCTGCTGGGGGGGTGCCATTTATGCGGTCTCTTGCGGAAATTTCTGAACACGCGCGGTGACATGCCGCAACTATATACGTATGTGTGTGAGTCTCGTCGCGGCATTCCAAAGCGACGCTCAAATATTGACCCCACTGATGACTTAACGGCGCCTCCCCCTCATCGCCCCACTTGCCACGCGCCCCCCCGCTTCCCCCTGGCGGCTTTGCGAGGGCGCCCCCGCTCAGAGGAGCAAACAGCCGCCGCGGCCACCCCAGGCGGCCCGCGCAGCCTGCGCGCCGTCGCCGCCGATGACGTTGTTCTCCAGGTCCAGCGAAATCAGGCCGGTCATGGAAGGCAGCGCTCCCGCCAGTGCCTCGCGCCCTCGTCGCCGATGCTGTCGCCGTTCACGAGCAGCTCCTTCATGCCACTCATGGAGGGCAGTGCCCACGCCAGTGCCTTCGCGCCCTCGTCGCCGACGCTGTTGCCGTTGAGGCTCAGCAAAATCAAACAGATCTTGGAGGGCAGCGCCCAGGCCAAGGCCTGCGCACACACGTCAACGACGCTATTTCTGTCCACGTGCAGCGTCATCAGGCCGGTCATGGAGGGCAGCGCCCCGGCCAGGGCCTGCGCGCCCTCGTCGCCGATGCTGTTCGCGTGCAGGACCAGATTCTTCAATCCTGGCAGGGAGGGCAGTGCCCCCGCCATGGCCTGCACGCCCTTGTCGCCGATGCTGTTTCTGTCCAGGTTCAGCGTCGTCAGACCCGTCATGGAGGGCAGCGCCCCCGCCAGGGCCTACGCACCCTCGTCGCCGATGCCGTTGCTTGCAGGTGCAGATTCTTCAGGCCTGGAAGGGAGGGCAGCGCGCCCGCCAGGGCCTTCGCGCCCTCGTCGCCGATGCTGTCTAGGTTTACCGTCGCCAGGCCAGTCATGGAGGGCAGCGCCCCGGCCAGGGCCTTCGCGCCCTCGTCGCCGATGTCGTTTCTGTCCAGTTTCAGCTTCGTCTTTCGTGGAGGGCGGCGCCCCCGCCAGGGCCTTCGCACCCTCGTCGCTGACGCTATTCGCCTGCAGGTACAGATTCTTCAGGCCTGGCAGGGAGGGCAGTGCCCCCGCCATGGCCTGCACGCCCTTGTCGCCGATGCTGCTCGTGTGCAGGACCAGATTTTTCAATCCTGGCAGGGAGGGCAGTGCCCCCGCCATGGCCTGCACGCCCTTGTCGCCGATGCTGTTTCTGTCCAGGTTCAGCGTCGTCAGACCCATCATGGAGGGCAGCGCCCCCGCCAGGGCCTGCGCGCCCTCGTCGCCGATGCTGTTGCTTGCGGCGCAGATTCTTCAGGCCTGGAAGGGAGGGCAGCGAACCCGCCAGGGCCTTCGCGCCCTCGTCGCCGATGCTGTTGCAGTTCAGGAGCAGCTCCATAAGGCCGGTCATGGAGGACAGCGCCCCCGCCAGGGCCTGCGCGCCCTCGTCGCTGGTGCTGTTTCTGTCTAGGTTTACCGTCGTCAGGCCAATCATGGAGGGCAGCGCCCCCGCCAGGGCCTTCGCGCCCTCGTCGCCGATGCTGTTTCTGTCTAGCTTCAGCGTCGTCTTTCATGGAGGGCAGCGCCTCCGCCAGGGCCTGCGCACCCTCGTCGCTGACGCTACTCGCCTGCAGGTACAGATTCTTCAGGCCTGGCAGGGAGGGCAGCGCCCCCGCCAGTGCCCGCGCGCCCGCGGGACCGAACTCGCAGCTACGCAGGTCCAGCGTCTCCAGGCGGGTGCGCAGCCGCAGGCAGCCAGCGAGCCCCGCGGCTTGCTCGGGGGTCGGGGGAGGCATCCCCTTGAAGTCTAGCGTCGTCACGCCGCCCAGCTGCGCGCGGCTCATCCGGCGGAAGAGCGCCTGCACCGCCTCCTGGTCCGCGCCGTTGGTGAAAGACCTGTCCTCGATGAGCTGGTCGAACTCGTCCGGGCCCACCGGCCGCCCCCTCCCGGCCGTCGCCGCCCCCGCCCCTCGCCCCAGGCCGGCCACGGCGTCCCATTTCGCCCCCCAACGCCGCACCCGCTTTGTTTGCTCCGTGGAGCAGCGCTCGTACGTCGTCCAGCCAGACTGGTCGTAGCCGCACTCGCGCGTGCTTCCCCGCTCGCGGGGGTGCTGGGTGAGCAGGAGGACGGTGGTGGCCTCGTGGGCGTACCAGAGATCCATCATCTCCTCCAGCCCGTGCGTGAAGGCGGCTCTCTCGGCGGGGGTCCGCTTCGCCTTGTCCGCCATCTCCTGCGCGTCCTTTTCGCTCTTGCCCTCCCGCAGGGCGGCAGCCTTCGCGTCCTCAGACTTGACGGTGTCGCCCTGCAGCAGCGAGGGCCAATCCCAGAAGACTCCCATTTCGCTGAACCCCTCGAAGGAATAACAGGCTGTGGAGTACTTGTGGCGCTCCTGCTCCAGGGTGTCAATCACCAAACTCAGCTGCACCCCATTGGGGTCGGGATGCTCTCTTGAGTCCTAGCAAGCAGAACGAGATGGTGATGATCGGCGCCACCTGGTCTCTTCCTCCTCGCCCGCCAGTCTCCCAGACGGCCCGCAGCTCGTCCGCGGACACGAAAGCTTCGTCCGGCAGCTCCTGGCACCTCTTCAGGACCGTGCCGCGCTGCTGCAGGAGCCACGACATGCGGACCAAGCGCACGGGGTGGAGGCCTTCCACGGTGAACGCGAGCGCGTCGAAGAGGCTCGCGGCGTCCCCGTACCGCATCAGGTCGAACGACTCCTGCTCCTCCTTGGGGACATCCTGCTGGTGGTGCTGGTCGACGGGCGCCGCCAGAGATTCGGGCAAGGCGTCGCTCTCCCGCTGGTCCTCGGGCACGCGCCCCTCCGCGACGTTCGGCATGTGCGGGGGGGGCCCGCCGGCCCCATCTATCATCTTCTCGTTGGGGGCCTCGCCTGTCACTGCCTGGCTCTCTACGACCTTCACGCGACGGGCAGCGATGATCTTGGCCAGCGTCTGGCTGATACCCCCTGCGGTCAGCTGCTCTGCGATGGCCCGCTCCGTCGCCTCGAGGGCCCCAGCGCTCTCGCTCCCTTTCTTGCCCACTGCTTTCGTGAAGGCAATGGCGCCAGCCGACGTGGCGAGGAACTCCAGCGGCGCGACGGCCCCGACTACGGCGGCGTTCAGGTCCCGATCGAAGTACTCCTCGAACCTCCTCTCGGGATAGTCAGATTTCTTGGCCGCCTCCCATGCCCCCAGGCTCGCGTCGGCGTCGAACTCGCGCCTGCTGTGGGGCTTCTCGTCGCTGCCGTTGCAGCACTCCTCCTCCAGGTGAGTCCTTCGGGCATCCTGCAAGATGTCGTCGAAACGCGCCGCCAAGACCGCCCTCGCGGAGCGCGGGGGGACCGTGCATCGGCTGCGCCGCTCTCTGCGGCGGCCTGCGCGGCGCTGGCCGCGCGGCACTGGCCGCCCTCCCCCTTCTGCAGCCACTTCTGGGCCTCGCGCTGGACGCGGAGGAGGAGGAGGAGGAGGAGGAGGAGGAGGAGGAGGAGAAGAGGAGGAGGAGCCCTGAACCGCCTGTCCGGGTCAGGGCCCCCAGCGCCTGCGCCGGCCTGCTGCTGGGGCCCCGCCCCCGCGGACTCCTGCGCATGCCGGCGCCCCCCGCGCGGCCCTGGCCCCGGCCGGCACGGCCGCCGAGCGCGGGAGCTCGGCCCGGATGCGCTCCCCCGGGTGGCGACGTTCGCCCTGAGCCTGTCCTCCAGGGCCGCCAGGGCGGCGTCCACCGCACGGGCCTCCATTGGCGGCAGGGGGCCTGGCGCGAGGCGCGCTCGAGCCAAAAATGGCTACGGAAACCTCCTCCTCCGGAGTTCCTCCGCCATCCTCCCCCGATTGTTCCCTGAAGGGTTTCCACAAGGGCTGGGGGAACACATGGTACGATATCTTGGCAAGGCTCTTGCCACAACGCTGGGCCAAATGGACAATTCCAAAAGGCAGGGGGCGGCAGTGATTCGCCGCAGGCGTCTTCAATCCGCCGATCCCTTGTGCTCTTGCCAAACAGGGTGCTCGGCGTACCGAACGCCTGGCAGGCTTTTGATTGAAAACTCCACCTCGGGCGTCGGCCGAATGAACAGGCCACCCGAAAAGCTCCAGGCGACGCCCCTTCCGTCAGCTTTTCGCTTAAGATGGCCTCAGCATGGTCTCCAAGACGGCCAAGATGGCCCCGAGCAAGCCAAAGAGAGCGCCAAGATGGCCTCCGAGACGGTCCCAAGATGACTCCAATAAGCGCCCAAGAGGCCCCTAAGACGGCCCAGGAGGCCTCCACGAGGTCCGCCAGGAGTGCCTGAACAGGTCAAAATTATTGATATCCTTCGGTTCTTGAAAGATTTTGGCAGTTGCTTCAAAACGGCCGTCCCACGGCACAAGACGACCCAAGAGGTCCCCAAGAGGGCCCCAAGATCGCCCAAGAGGCCTCCAAAATGGCCCCAGGACGGCCCAAGAGGTTCCCAAGACGCCCCCCAAAGGGCGTCAAGACGGCCCACGAGGCGTTCAAGACGCCCACGATGGCCGTCAAGACGACCCTTAAGCGCTCCAAGAGGGCCCAAAGACAGCCAAGCGAGGCTCCGAAGACAGCTTCCGACGGCGTCAGAAGGGCCGAAGAAGCTTCCCAAGGCCCCCAAGAGGGCCAAGGAGGCCCGCGGAGCGGCCCTTCGCGGTGTGCACGTGGCTGGCAAAAGCCCTCATGAAGCTCCCAGGATGCTCCAGAAATGGCCCCAGAAGCTCCCAACAGGTCTCCTCGTCATTCTCCTCGTCCTCCATCCCCCTCCCTCTGCTCATCCTCCTCCTCCTCCCCCACGTGTCCCCCTCCACAACGGCTAGGGGAAAGCATGGTCCAATAGCGTGGCCAAACCTTGCCCAAGCGTTTAGCCACACGGGCGGCGCATCCCAAAAGGCAGGGGGCGGCGATGACTCGCCGTGGGCGTCTTCAGCACACTCAGGTGCACACGGCCGTGATCTCACCCCGGCCACCGTGGCATCACTCCCTCGGCGTTCAAAAAGAACACCTGGGAGAGCATATTTTCACCAGCCGATCTCCTACTCCTCGACCCGCCTCCTCACCCGTGTTGATGCCCGGCGCGCTGAGGCGTGCGCCGCCGCGGGCAGCTCCGGCGGCGCCGCCGGCCTGGAGGCCGATGCCGCCCTGCGAAGGGCGCCCCGGCAGGGAAAAGGCACGACCAGAGCGGGCCAGACAAGGGGAGGAAGGGGGGGCGGCGGGGGGGGGGCGCAGCTGAGCTGGCCACCGCGGCCGCGGCTCGGACCGCTGCTCATCCGCCCTCCACTTCGAGTCAGTGGAGCTCCGCAAGTGGGTTCTGCAGAGGGCTGGGGTCTCCCTGCCCGCGTTACGTGGCATGTTCGGTGGGGGGGGACCTTGTATGGGTTCTCGCGCCACTATCCGCATAGAATCCGCGTCGATTCCATGTCGAACTGACGAATCCGCATCCAACACAAAAGCCAATATTGGGGATACCAAAAGGTACCGATACCGCTACTCCCCGGACCTCTCTGGGGGTGCGTTCTGACCAAGATTTCGAGGCGAATCCAGCGGTGGCGACGAGGGCCTCCAAGGAGGCCCAAGAAAAAGAAAACGAGGGAAGAGTAGCGGTATGGGTACCTGTTCCTCCTCCGAAATATGTTCGCGAATATCCGCGCCGGATGCAGGAAAGAAGGCCGCCGCCTGCAGGACGGGCAAGCCCCCTTTCCGAAGATGCAGCGTGGCCCTCCTGCCCCCCGTGGAAAAGAAATCAAGGACTATGTGGGAGTTTTCTCTCTGTGTCTCTATGCCACTCTCTCTCTCTCTCGCTCCCTCTCTGCCTCTCTCTCTCTCTTTCTCCCTCTCTCTCTCTCTCCCTTTCTCTCTCTCTCTCTTTATTTTTCTCTCTCTCTCTCTCTCCCTCTCTCTTGATGTATGGATTCCTCTATGCCTCTCTCTCTCTCTCTCTCTTTGTTTCTCTTGTTATCTCTCTTTCTCTCTCTGTCTGCCTTTCTCTCTCTTCCTCTATGTATATATATATATATATGTATATATCCATCTCCCTCTCTTTCCAAGAATCCTCATGGGGATGGGGCCACTTCTGATAGTCTGATCCACGACTAACCGAACTCAAACATATCATATAGAATGTGGTTCGAAACAACCGTAATAGAACCCTCGTAGAAGTGGAGCGACCTGTAACATAATCCTATCAAGGATGGGGCCACCTAAAGGACGGATCCACGTGTGATTGAATCCTATTGGGGATGGGACGTTTTCGAATATGCGATTGGGAATGGAACCACCTCGAATATAATCCACAGGTGATGCTGCACCTTCATATATACTCTTTGTGGGCATCGAACAACCTCCGACTAGCAAAAATGGGTCCACCTTTAATCCCACCAGCCCTCTGGGCGTAGTTGGTTTAGAGAGTGTCCTCTTCCATCTTCCCTCTTCCCCATCGGGGAGGGGTTTACCCCTCCCCCTACCCCCTCCCCTCGACCTGGACGGGGGGGGCCGCCAGGGGGTAGAGCGTCCAAGATGGCCCAAGACGGCTCCAAGTGGGCCTCGGAGAGCCCAAGATGAGTTCCAAGATGGCTCAAGATAGCCCAAGATGCCTCAAGATGGCTCCCAAGATGCTCCAGGAGTCCCCAAGACTGCCCCAAGACGGCTCCAAGTGGCCTTGGAGCCTCCCAAGGAGGCCCCCCAAGAGGCCAAAATGGCTCCAAAACCGAGGAAATCCATGTTTTTTGCTTTCTCGCCTTTTCGCGTCCGATGGCCATTCGAGGCCTCAAGATGGCTCCAAGATGGCCCAAGAAGGCCCCAAGAGATGCCCAAAATCGCAAAGACGGCACCAAGAGCGCACAAGAGCGCCCCACGAGCGCCTCAAGATGGGCCCAAGAAGCGATTTGTGAGGCTCCCGAGGGGCGACGCTGATTTAATTGCGACCTTCCCCTTCTTTGATCGATCGTCTCCAAGATGGCTCCAAGAGGCGCGCAGGAGGCCCCTAAGAGGCGCCAAGCTGGCCCCAAGATGGTCCCCAGATGGCCCCAAGCGGCCCCCAAGAGACCCCCCAGAGGCTCCCGCAGCTCCCGCAACTGACGAGGCCAGAGGCTCACGTCTGAAAAAAAAACTGCCGGCCAGAGGCTCCTGCAGCTGACGAGGCCAGAGGCTCACGTCTGGAAAAATGAAGCACGCATCTGTTATCTCGACAGTTCGAAGAACATCCCCCCTCCCCCCCCCATCCACCCCCCCCTCCACCACCCCGGAGTCCCTGAGGCACCCAAGACGCTCCAAAAGGCCTCTAGGACCGCCATGAGGCCCCCAAGACGTCCCAAGACGCGTCCAAGAAGCTCCCAAAAGACATCTGGAAAGACTCCGAGAGGCATCCAAGAGGCCTCTGGCCATTCTGCTCGCCCGTTCCTTCATCTTCCTCCTGCTTACTCTCCTCATCCTCCTCCTCATCCGCCTATTCCTTCTTCTCCTTCCTCCCTCCTTCCCCTTCCCCTCCTCCTCCTCCACTTCCTCCTCCTTCTCATCCTCCTCCGATTCGTCCTCCATCCTCCCCCTCTTGGAGTAGGACGGGTTCCCAACCCTTTGAAACTCTGTATGCTCCCTCACTTCCCTGATCACTTCAATTCCCCTGGGCATCATTTCTGGATGGGCTGGTGGGGATACGCGAAGCGTCTAGAATTTAGACGTATCAAGGATGGCGCCACCTCGAGTGAAGTCCGCTCGGGGATAGAGCCGAGTGAAATATGATGCATTGGGAACTGCCTGGCCCCAAACAGAATCTTAGCAGTGACGAAGCCACCTGCAATGTAATCATATCAGGGATGGAGACACCTCGGGTCAGATCCGATTTGGGAAACCCCATATCGAATATAGTCATATTGGAAGCGGGTCCGTTTCTAACACAATCTTAGCAATGGTACCGCAAACCTTCAATCAATTGTGATCCGTGAAAGACTCACATGTATTGGAAGCCTGTGCCGGCGGGCCCACATGTAAAATAATCCTGTTAAAGAAGAAGCCGCGTGAGTAAACACACATCCATTTAGAGGTGGGTCCAACTTTGCTATAATCCCATGAGAAGTGCGCCCACCTCCACTGGTAACCGATTTAGTTTGAATCGAACGGGCATATCAAAGTATTTCAGGGGGATCCACTTCACATTGAAACCTATTGGACATGGAAGCGCCTAAAATAATCCAGGGCCCCTGGCACCACCTGCGACTAGCCACTGCGATGCCGTGCTACGCCTTGCTAGGCTTAGCCGAAACCTGCCAGGCACTGCTGAACACTACTGCCCTGTGCCAGGCCCCTGTCATTTCTTCCAGCCACCTGCCAGTCCCAGCTAAGCCTCGATAGGCCCGACAATGCCCTGCTAGCCCCGAATATGCCCTGCCGGGACCTGCCAACGGTTGCCAAGATCCGCTAGCCTTGCTGAGTTCTGCCAGGACATCGACCACCTGCTCAGCCATGCGACGCCTCCTGAAGCATACGGGGCCACATCACATATGATTTCATAAACCAACAAACCGCTTGCTAATGGAAGCCGGTGAGAGGTGGATCCACCTCTAATACACTTATAGTATGGATGAAACATATGTCGTGGCATCCGAGTTAGGACGGGCTCAGCTTTAATAGGGTCCCATGAGAGGTGGATTCACCTCTACTGGGATCCTGTTGCGGACGGGGCCACGGGTAACTGACATGCATGCAGCGTGGTTCCGCTTCGAATAATATCCGATTACAGGTGGATCCACCCCCAATACAATGTCATGAAAGATGGAGGCACCTGAAGTAGAATCGTATTAGATGTGGATGCACTTCTATGTGAATCCTATGGGGAAACGAGCCACCTCTAATCGAATCGTTCCTAAGCCGTGGTGAGCTCCTGCTAATCGCTGCTACGCATTGCCCCTCTGAGCCCTGCTAGCCACTGCGTTGCCGTGCCATGCCCTGCTGACCCCTGCTAAGCTGTGCTAGGTCTAGGCACGCCCTGCCAAGCTGAGCCTTGCTGGCCCTCTGCTAAGCCTTGATAAATTCGACCAGCCACCTGCCAAGCCCAGCGAAGCCTTGACAAGCCCGACCCAGCCATTCTAGGCTTGAGCCTTGCTAAGCTATGCCGGCATCTCGATAAACTGCTAAGCCTGGCGGAGCCATATCTACTACCATCTTATCAGGGATGGACCTATTGCAACTGGAATCCTACTGGAGGTGGATCAACCTCGGACCCGACTAAGGAATACGATCCACCTCCAATTCAATTCCATGAAGGATGTAGGCACCTGAAGTATAATCGTATTAGATGTGGATCAACAGTTATGTGGATCCAGCTTGGGGCGGAGCCACCTCTAACAGAAATCTTTGACGGGTGGATCCACTGCTCATGGAATTCGATTAGGAGTGGATGCGATCCCTCTCTCAAAAACCTGCTTCAAATCCAAGCCGCCTGCAATACAACTCTGTGAAGGAATCAGCATTGTTCCACACAGTAGGATTCAATGAGTAAATCACCCACGAAAAGAATCCGACTGGAAAGTCGCGCAAAAAGGGTTCGTTTTTGAATTCGCGCAATACAAATCAATGCGTACATCCCCCAAAAAGGATTCATGCAGTAAAGTCGCCCAAAAGGAATGTATGCGTAATCCAGAAAAAGGAATCCAATTGAAAAGCCAGATCAAAACGATGTGCAATCCGCACAGTAAAAATCAATTTGTAAATCGCCCACGAAAAAGAAATGCGATTGAAAGTCCGCGCAAAAGGATTTGATTTGCAATCCACACAATAAAAATCATGTTGTAAATCGCCCACAAAAAGGATTTCCTGTGAAAGTGACACAAAAAATTCAGTGAACCCCCCAAAAACAAACGAGCAGCCGTCGCCTCCATTTGTTGGGGGGGTCGCGAACGCCCCGCCCCCGAAAAAAGCAAAACATGAAAGGGGGGATGGTTTCCTGTTTTTTTGCCGGAGGTCCACAACTTTTCCTGGCCTCCATTTACAGAAATTCCTTGTGTGGGCGACTGGCACATTGAAGTCGAGCGTGTAGATTACAAGTCGAATCCTTTTGCGCCGCTTCTCCATGGGAATTCATTGGTCAGCGGCTGACAAACAAAACTTCTGTTGCGCAGATTAAACCTAATAATTCTGATGTTCGGCTTTTCATGGAATTTCTTGTGTGGGCGACTTACACACACACACACTCTTGTTCTGTACCCCAGAAAACATCGCCCCCTCAACTGCTTCCCCCCAGAAACATGTTCTTCCCCCCAGCCCAGGCCCCGAACAAAAAAATGGAGGGGGGTGATTCAATGCTTTTGATGTTGTTTTGCTTCTTCCCCCGAAGACTAAAACTTCTTTTTGCCTCCATTTAAAGAAGTTCCTTTCGTGGGCGATTGACACATTCATTTCTACCGTGTAGATTACAATTCGGACCATGTTGCGCCGCTTTTCAGGAGAACTAGACCACAGAGTTAGGTGCGACGAAGAAGAGAGAGAGAGAGAAAGAGACACACGAAACATGAAGAAACTAAAATACACAACCGGATAATGAACCAACCTCCAACACATGAACATACACCACGAAAATGGTCCGTAAAGAATCCCATATTCCCCCCTTACCCTGCCCCCCACCCTACTCGTGACGTTAGATCCGTCCCGCTCCCGTTCCTGCCCTGCTGTGACCCCCGGAATGGGGGTTAGCGGCCAAATTCGCAAATCGCCCCCGCCATCATGGAGTCGTCCGGCGTGCACATCGCTGGCGCGGTCACAAGGCCCGCTCTGTGCCCCCCGCCCTGCTCCGGCCGTTCCCGTCCCCCCCTGTTTTGAACTTGCCCCATTCGCGCCTCACCCCCCAAATGTTCCTCCTCCTCCTCCTCGTCCTCCTCCTCCTCCTCTTCCTCCTCCTCAACCTCCGCCTCCTCCTCCTCCTCTTCCGCCTCCATCTCTTTTTCCTCCTCCTCCTCCTCCTCCTCATCCTTCTCCTCCTCCGCTTCCTCCTGCCTTTCATTCCACATACGCCCCTCCCCCCCCCGTCCTCGGGGATGTACTGACCTGGGTCAACCTAGACCCGGGCCGGCGGCTTTTCAGGATCCTGCAAGATCCTGCAGGCTCCTGCAGGATCCTGCGCCCCGACCGTGAGTCCGTGCGCCCCTGGCTCTGCAGGATCCTGCAAGGTCTGGCGCTCTGGCTGACCCCCGCTTGCACTGCCCCCCGCCTCAGGGCCCCCACTCCCAACCGAGCCTCTCTGGGCCTCAAAACCGTAGAGGAGCTTATGATTTGGGCACCTGGGGCCTCCTGTGGGGCCCAAGGGTGCCAAGATGGCCCCAAGGACCGCCCAAGATGGCCCCGAGCCTCTCTGGGCCTCAAAACCGTAGAGGAGCTTATGATTTGGGCACCTTGGGCCTCCTGTGGGGCCCAAGGGTGCCAAGATGGCCCCAAGGACCGCCCAAGATGGCCCTTGCCTGCGCGCGGCCGGCCCGCCGCGCCCTTGTTTGCCTCAGCGCACGCGACGAGGGAGCAGGGCGGAGGGAGGGAGGGGCCCTCCTCAATCTCCTCCTCGTCCTCCTCCTCCTCCTTCCCATCCTTCCCATCCTTCCCATCCTTCCCCTCCTCCTCCCCTCCTACTCCTCCTCCTCCTCCTCCTCTCCTCTCCTCCTTCCCTCCCCTCCTCTCCTCCCCCTCCCCTCCTCCCCTCCTCCTCCTCCTCTCTTCCTCCTCCTCCTCCTCCTCCTCCTCCTCCTCCTCTCCTCCTCCTCCTCCTCCCAAGAGGCCCCAGAGGCCCCCAAGACGCTCCACAGGGGGACCGCAAGAGAGCTGCTCCAGAAGGCGCGCCGGCGGTGCGTGGGAGGGGGCACGGCCAGGGCAGCGGCCTTCCGAAGCCGCTCGTGCCACCAACCGCGGGGCGCGCCGCCGCAGTCTTGCCACGTAAAGCAGCGGACAAGGAACGAAGTCCCCTTTGGGCCTCATCCTCCTCCGTCTCCACCTCCTACCCATCCTCCTCTCCTCCTCCTCTTCCTCCTCATCCTCCTCCTCCTCCTCCTCCTCGTCCTCCTCGTCCTCCTCGTCCTCCTCCTCCTCCTCCTTCTCCTCCTCCTCCTCCTGTCCTCCTCCTCCTCCTCGCCTCCTCCTCCTCCTCCTCCTCCTCCTCCTCGTCTTCCTCCCCCTCCTCCTCTTTCTCATTCTCCTGCTCCTGCTCCTCCTCACCTCCTTCTCCTCCCCTATCGAAACCCCTTCGCTCCGTCTCGCCCGCCAACTGGCACACCAACATATAGCAAGAGTTGAACAGGGACCGATCGTCCCTTCATTCCTATAGGCCTATCACGAAATGGTCTTAGGACCTTGACACGAATCAAGCATGAAGAAAGGGGCTTGTTGCGCCCTGGGAGATGTGTGTGAGGAAGAAAAAATAGCCGACTCAGGCCTGCAAGCGAGGGAATCACGCGTCGGGCGCAGCAGAAATAGACTGGGCACAGAGGTAAAGAAACCAGCCAGTGGGACCAGAACGGCACAGAGCATGCCCCTGCCAGGCGCCTCCTCCTCCGCCTCCTCCGCCTCTTCCCCTATCGAGTCCTCTGCCATCCTTCTCGCCTGCCATCGATCCGAATCGACGCTGAAGCGGCGCACCTCATAGACTATCCTCACACGCTCCTTGACACCAGCGACGGACTTGCGAGGGCACACGAGGCCCCCCCAGGACCTGCTGCCGAAGGGACGCGGTGGGTCAGCACTGGTGGAACGACACGCTGCCCAGACATTCCTTGCCGTAGACCTCCGATATGGACGCCCGAAAGGGGTGCGGAAGAAATGGGCACGGTGCCCAACAACACAGGAAGGGACGTCGTGGTGGGTCAGAACTGGTGGAACGACACGCTGCCCAGACAGTCCCGGCCGTAGACCTCCGAGATGGACGCCCGAAAGGGGTGCGGAAGAAATGGGCACGGTGCCCAACAACACATGCTGTCCAAAACCAATCACGGCCACCGTTGGCCAGGCGGCCTCTCCGCGGCGACGCCGACGGCGAGCCCTGTCCAACATAGACAGGAATTGGTGTAAGTATTCACAGTGCGCAAGGAGCCCTGAGATAAGGAATCCAGGGCCTGGAAGCAAGCGGAACTCCAATCGTGCGCCGGCCATGGGGATGACCGACGCCCTCCTCAGCTCAGGGGTCCTCCAGCGTATGCAGCCTCCTGGACACATTCCACAGTGAACGCCCCCACCGCATCAGCTCTCCTCGTGCCCATCTCGGCTCTCCAGATCTTCCCGAGAAGCCCCCCCCTCCGCCTTCGCTTGGCGGGCCGCCCCCCTCGCGGGCTGCCCCCCTCGTGAGCGCCGCCCACTTTTCTTTGGCCTACCCGAAACCGTCCCTGCCCCCCTACTTGTTTAGGGTTTCGCAGGGGGCGTGCACGCGCAATGGGGACACCAATAGGTACCGATACCTCCCGGGGCGCGTTCTGACCAGGGCTTCGAGGCGAATCCGGCGGTGGCGACGAGGGCCTCCGAGGAGGCCCCAAAAGGGGACCACGGGCGAGGGGTAGAGGTAGGGGTACCTTTGCCTCCTCCGAGCGCGCGCGCACCCAGCGCCGCACCCAGCGCCGCACCCGGCTTCCGACGCCGCCCACCCGCAGAGCACGGGCCGCGCCTGCGGGCCGCCCCGCGAGGCCCGCGCCGCGTCGAGGGCTCGGCGGGCGGCCTCCGGCCACCGCCTCCGGGCGCTGGGCTCCCGGGCCTCGCCTGCTCGCCCGGGGCTCCGCCTCCTCCTCCTCCTCCTCCTCCTCCCTCCTCCTCTCCTCCTCTCCTCCTCCTCCTCCTCCTCCTTCCTCCTCCTCCTCCCCCCTCCCCCCTCCTCCTCCTCCCTCCTCCTCCTCCCTCCCCTCCTCCTCCTCCTCCTCCTCCTCCTCCCCCTCCTCCTCCCCCTCCTCCTCCTCCTCCTCCTCCTCCCTCCTCCTCCTCCTCTCCTCCCTCCTCCTCCTCTCCTCCTCTCCTCCTCCTCCTCCTCCTCCTCCTCCTCCTCCCCTTCCTCCTCCTGCCCCTCCACGGCAGCTCACCGGCCTCTGGGCGGCAGCTCGCTCGACTGCCTAGCCAGTACTGACTGTAGCCTGACTCCAACCTCGGTGCCACAGCAGATATGTTAGCTCACTGATATTCTGCCAGATGCGTGCCGACCTCTGCTGACAGGCTCCCAGTTTCATCGGCGTCGAATTCCCTAACACAGATCTTTCCCCTCATCCTCCGGCTCCCCCTGCCAGGGCAGGCTCGGCAGCGTGACGACTTCGGCGCTGGGCGTGCCCAGGCCGGCCAAGGCGACGGCACGATCGAAGCCCGACGAGACCGACAGCGAGAGCCGGAACTACCGAAACCAGATCGAGTGGACGCAGCTGAGAGGGTCGCCGCAAAGGCGCAACAACGGGCCAAACGCAACCGACGGCGACGCAGCCGAATTTGCGGGACAGCGGACTCCGCGTGGATCGGTCGGCCTTGACCGACCGGCTGTCTGGCAATCGGGGTCTCTCTTTCGACACTGGCTGAACTCAGGCCGCCATCGGCCTCTGCCCGAACTGGCGTCGCCGCCGTGTCGACACGACACGAAACTCCCCTTCCTCCTCCTCCTCCTCCTCCTCCTCCTCCTCCCCCTCCTCCTCCTCCTCCCCCTCCTCCTCCTCCTCCTCCTCCTCCTCTATCCCCTGGTGCCTCACATGGTACCGCAAGGCTACGGCAGAGGCGGCAAAGGCTCGCACGGTGGGACTCGGCGGCGGCCACAGTTGTCCGTGTCTGCCTGTCCCGCCTCTGTCCCCTCCCCCCCTCGGACGGCTCCTCCCCTCCTCCGACCCCCACTTCGAATCAGATTCCCTCTCCCGAGCCTCCGAAAACCTCTGGAGAAAACCAGAACCTCCGAGAACCTCCGAACCTGTCCAGGCAGCTGCTGCAATGACCAAGAGACGCACCCAACCCTTATTCAACAAGTGGCAGCATCCACGGGCCTAACCAGACCGAATGATTTTAGGAGAAGGCACGCAACCCCGCGATCAAAACAGATCGAAGACGCACACGGGAAATCGACGCCGCCCCCTGCCTTTTTGGAAACGCCTGTGTGGCAAAACGTGGGGCCCCAGTCTGACCAAGCGATTCAACTATGTGTTCCCGAGCCGATGCGGGAACCCTTGAAGGAACCCTTGGGGGAAGAAGAGTGAGAGGCAGATATGGATAATTATGACGGTGAGGAAGAGAAGTGGGCCTTTGGGGGGTCTTTCAGGGCCCCCTGGGGGCTTGCTGGGGGGAATCTGAGGGGCCCCTTTGGAGGGCTGCTGGGGCATCTTGGGTGCCTCTTGACCGCCTTGAAGCTCCCTTGGCCAATCTCTGGGGCCCACGCGGAGGCCGTGTCGGGAGCCTCTCTGGGTCTTGGGGCCGTCTTGGGGCACTCTCGGGCGGTCTTAGAAGTATGGTGGGCCGTATTTGGGCCCTCCCGGGGTCCTGCGGAGTCGTCCTGCGGCCGTCTTGGACCGTCTCAGGGCCCTCTTGAAGGCCTCCTGGGCTGGTCTTCGGCTGTCGGAGCCCCGAAAGAGCACGACCACGACAGTCCATCTCGTACAAGCTCAACACATTTGAGCTCCTCGGACCTCCTGGTCCCTGTGGAGCATCTCGGGCTGTCTTAGGGGGCATCTTGGGAGCCTCCTGGACAAACTTGAAGTAGTCGCTGGTCCTCTTGGGGCCGTCTGGGCCGATGAAGGGGGCGATCGGGGCCGTCTTGGAGGCCGTCTTGGGCAACCTGAGCCATATTGGTGGCCCTCTTGGGGGTCACGTTGGCGGCCCTCTTGGGACCACGTTGGGAGGGAGGGCGACGGCAGATACCCGGATTGGCCGGCAGACTGCGCCGAGATCCCACATTGGTGAAGGTCCAAATGTGCTCGAACGTCTAGAGCGCGAAGCACCCCTTCTGCACGCCAAAAGAGGACACGGCGTGGCGCTCCAGGAGGAGGAGGACGAGGAGGAGGAGGAGGAGGAGAACGACCCGAGAGCTTACAACGAACGCCCAGTTGCTCTCGACAGCCACGACCTCGCCCTGGTTGCCTCCGCTCCCGCTTCCTCCCTCCCCCTCCCTCGGCGGTCGGGACCCCTCTGCCCCCCGCCCCCTCCGATACCTCCGAGGGCTCGAGCGTGTTCGAGCCTCGGGGCCTGGACACCTCGACTGCAGGCCCCTGGGCCCGCTTAAGCATAAACTTTCGACGGTCCGCAGGGAAGGGTCAGGAGGACGAGAAACATACAGGAGGAGAGGGGGAGTCGGGGGGGGGGATGTCGGATAGCGTTGCTCCACTTCCCTCCTGTCCTCCCATCATCCCCCTCCCCCATCATACCCTTGCCGCGTCCCGCCGCCTGGTCCTTCCGCGGGATGGGCAACCTCGCAAACGAGGCCCAGCGCACCCACTCAGTCCACCCCCCTCTGTATCCCTCTCATATTCCCCCTCCCCCTCTCCATTCCTCACCTCTCCCCCAAGAACGCTACTCCTTATCCTCCTCCCCTTTGCTCCTCCCCATCCACACCCTCCCCGCGTTCCCCACTGCGAGAAAACAAAGACCGGTACGACCGCTACTCCGCGGATCTCTCCTGGGTCACGTTCTGACTAGGACTTCGACGCGAACATCGGCGTCTCCTCCTCTTCATCACTAGTGACCTCCTAAATGGGGACGGTGTAGATTGGGTCCGATGCACCTGACAATGCATCGGCAATGCACTGGCGACGTCGACGTGAAGCAAATCGGGCCCCACATCGAGCCGCATCGGCGATGCATTGGCGATGCGGCGCGATCCTGGGGCCCCATCTACTCGGAACCCATCTCGGAGGCCTACCATAACCCCCATCCCAATCCACCTCATGGTCGGGTTGTTCGGGTACAACTGGTCGGGAAATCCCACATCCGTGGGCGACGGCTTGGCCCCGCCGACCACCCGGGACACACCCTGGCGGGGCGGGTCATCGCGCAAGCCCGGGCGACGCCGTACGATCGTCGTCATCGTCGCTGATGTGCAGGCAGCTGCCTACTCGACGTCTTCGTCGGGGCGCGAGAAAAGAACTGAAAATCCGATTTCCGATGACGACGGAAAGAATATAGCAAAACGATCTACTGATAAAGGTCCCCAATAACGGGCTCCGAATCACCGACGAGCGCGATTCATGGCGCAATATACAGGATGCAATCCATGCCGTGTAATCTATGTGGTGCACGCTATGTGGTGCAAGCTGCGGTATGCAATTTACGCGACGCGATCCAAGGAGTCTTATAGACGTGATGCAACTGTGTGCTACAATCTGACTGGTGCAGCCTACGCGGTGCACCCCGTTTGGTGCTATCTGTGGAATACAATTTACATGTTGACCCCATATGTTGGAACCTACGTGGTGCAACATACGCTGTGCAAATTGTGTGGTGCAAGCTTTTTGTGGTGCACCCGATCTATACAGCGCAATATGTGGTGCGCACGGTGCTGGTGCACCCTACGGAATGCAACGTACATGTTGCAATCGACGCGGTGCCCTTGCAGAACTTGAAGACGCAAAGTCTGGCCGCGATTGCAGTGACCACTTGGCACTGGCTGGCGCATCTCTGCGGCTCCGCTAGCGCGGGCCCGCGCGAAGAGCAATCAGCTGGTTTGGCACAACCGACGCGGCCGCAACGCGCGCTTACCGATGGGACCTTCCAGCGCGTTTCAGAAGCCGAGGCGGGCGCGCGGACACTTCAGTGCGGGTCGGTGGTTTGGGCGGGCGTGATGTCATGATGACGTCGACAACGGCGGCAACGATGATGGTAGTAGCGATTGTGGTGCCGATGGCGCCAGAGACGACGGCAAAGCCCATGACGGTGCCGATGCCAGTGCCGACGATGACGATGATGATGTCAATGCGTCGTTGAAAAGAGTGAGTGGCTGATGAAAGCGGCGATGGCGGCGACTGACGATGACGATAACGGTGATGCGGTGGCGCTTATGAGGGCGATGGTTAGGAAATGCGCGGGGGCGAAGTTGCGACAAATCTGGCAAATTCCTCTTGATTATAGATGTGATTGTGTTGGAAAGATTTCCACACACGCGCGAGGCGGCACAAGCGTGTGGCCCGCATTATATTATGTGATACGGATTCGTGCCTTGGGCGCGTGCTGGATCAACGCGGATGCACTCCGTGGTGAGATGAAAATGAGGGGTCCGGACGAGATTGCTACAATCACATGTTTTCCTGATGCGGTCAGCAAACGCGTGCGAGCAGAACATCTGCAAGATCTATAGTGCAACTCCTAAGGGCTTTCGATGTTTGACGTTGAGGGTAACGAAGGGTAAGAGCCCGTCCAGGGATCGCTTGGAGGCACACGAGACACCAGGAGGGCGAAAATCAGGATTGACGCGCAGCGATGAAGACAGGGGTAGGAAGAATGAGCCGTAGCACCAGGGAGGATCAATTGCAATTGATAATGCTTATGTATGTATATGTATATATATATATGAAGACAGGAGGAGCTGCAACGATCTCCAACACTAACCAGAGCGCAGAATGAGACCAACACGCCAGTCAGAAATCGCATGGTGCATGGCAAGCAAAATGAACCAACCATGTGTGCATGCTGCCTCCAGCTTCCAATGGACCTCCGTCGCGCCCAAGCCCAATGCACAATACGAGGCCACAGGAAGGTCGTAACTCTTCTCTGCATTGTCGAAATCCTGGTTGGCATCCTCAGCATTGTCCGGAATCCGCATCGGTGTCCCAGAGCACTTCTTCCCAAACAAACGTCCGGTGGCGGTTGTCCGCATATACAACCCGCTGAGGCACCAAGCCTGCCGGCGTGTCTCGCAAGCGCCGCCATTCCAGTGATCTGCTTTGGAAGATGTATGAAAATGCCCCTGGGTCATCCGTGCTACGTGTCCAGACCCTGGGTCTGCCGGGCGCGGCTAGATCGGCGTCGTCGGAGCCAAGCTTGGCGGCGGGCCCTGGCGGGGCCAAGGGTCAAGCACAATCAACAGAAATGCGCTACCTGCCCGAAACAAGTCTCGACACCAAGCCGTCTTGGGTCTACATGTCTTCGGCATGGTGCACGAGTTGAACCGCGTCTATGCCCCCACTGACAGCTGCTCCAGACCTAATCCCAGACACAGGGCCAAAAGGTCGGCTGGCCGTCAATGCCTGGCAGGGCATGCTCCACGCAAGCTCGACCTCGCTTTGCATCCGCAGCGCTCCGCGCCACCTCATCCCGCTGCCCTCCCCGTTGCTCCTCTCCTTACCTCTGCTTTCCAGATTTCCCCCTTTGCTCACACGTTCCCTCACACGTTACGTGGCCCCACCAAACGTACCACTGGCAGCGCCCGCTTGGCGGCACCGCCCTATTTCGGCACACCCCTCATACGATTCGCGACCCCATAGTGAGCTCCACAAGCGTCTCACTGGCAGCGTCCGCTCGGCGGAACCGCCCTATTCTTGCACACCGCTCATACGATCCGTGGTCCCTTAGGTGGCTCCACAGCAGACCCCAAGTGGCAATGCCCGCGTGGCGGCACCGCCCCGCTTCGGCAAACCCACACACCGTCCGGGCCTTCAAAAGGAACTCCGCCAACGGCGCCGCCAACGACAACGCCCGCATGGCGGCCCCGCCTCCATGATGGCACACCCGTGCACGTTCCGTGGGCCCCGAGGGAGCTGCACCGAAGGCCCACTGGCAGCGCCCGTGTGGCGGCACCGCCACATGCTGGCACACCCTTCGCTTCGAGGCCCCACAAGGCGCTCCACCAGAAGCGCCAGTGCCAGCGCCCGCTTGGCAGCACCGGCCATTTTGGCACACCCCACACATGTTCTGGGGCCCCCCTAAGGAGCTCCACATAAGGCGCCAGTGCCAGCGCACACATGGCAGTAACTCCCCATTTTGGCACACCGTTCACGCCCATCGTAGCCCCAAAGGGAGCTCCCCACGAAAGGAGCCTGTGTCAACACCCGCTTGGATGCACCGCCCAATTTGGAACACCCCTCACACACACCCCCGCTTCGTGGCCCCATACGGGACTCCACTGAAAGCGCCAGTGCTAGCGCCAGCGTAGCGGCACCGCCCCATGTCGGCACACCCCTCACACGCTTGTTGCCCGAGCTCTCTTGCGGTAATCACACCACGCCTTCGCCTAGATACTTATTAACGTTGACCTGAAATGAAAACCCTACCATGGAGAAAACACGGGAGCAACAATACCGGAAACCAAATTCTCTACTAATGCGTGTTGTGCACCTTCTGTCACACAAGGCTGGCTGCTCAAGGCAATACAGAAGATGATGGAAGATCGTCACCTGAGCCTGGGTTGGGACTGTTTGAAGCATGTTATGGGGGAGCGTTCGACATCGTAACGCACCATGGCACTGACGCAATCGCAATGCAGGTTCGGAAAAAGGATGAACTACTGTGCCAAATATCATGGCAACACATATCATCACTAACAAATGCGTCGGCATGGATTGCGCAGCGACATACTTTCCCGTCTATAGACAGCACACTCAGCTCGACCATCTTCATGTTCTGCGCATCCTTGCCGTAAGCCAACCTTGAGGAGAGCAGGGGGAATAAGAGCGATTACAACCACCTCGGACTGTTCAGGAACTACTTCGGTCGGATCACAACCACTGGAAAAGGACTGTTCGCAACCTGAAGGACTCCTATACAAACCTTTCTGAAGAACACCGGACTGCAACCGATCCAGAGCTTCTGCAGAGTTCTCACCGAGGAGCCTGAGAGGCCACAGCGAGGCCTCTGAGAGGCCTCTGAGAGGCCTCTGAGAGGCTTCGGCGAGGCCTCTGAGGGGCTTCGGCGAGGCCTTTTCAGAGGCTTCTCTGAAGCCTTTCAGAAGTTTCTCTGGAGCCTTTCAAAGGCTTCTCTGCGGCCTTTCAGAGGCTTCTCTGAGAGGCCTTTCTGAGGCCTCTGGGAGGCCTCAGCGAGGCCTTTCAAAAACTTCTGTGAAGCCTTTCAGAGGCTTCAGAGCCCCCGCTGGCTGAGCCCTGCTACTTACTCCCAGACCGCCTGGCATCGTGACATCATCTGTTTTTGTTTCGGGCTCCAGGGGCCCTCGCCGGGCCCAGGGGCCGTCCAAAAGTGACTCAGTACGCAATGCTGGTCTACTGTAGGTTCATGCGGAGTTGGCATGCCGGTGACGTTGGCGAAGGCGTTCAAGCCTGCATTCCGCGACGCTGAAGCACCGAGGGACATGGTGGGGCCACTGTACCCGACGAAATTCAACCTTGAACGATCGGGGCCGCGATCGGTTCAAGGTTGAACGATCGATGCGGTGTCAAAAGCCTTGCGAGTGCCGACGCCGCACGAACCTACCGTAGGGGAATTCGTCCAGACATCTGGGGGTCGACGTTCCGGAAAAGTAATGACGTTGGGGGTCTGGGCCGGCGCGTCCACCCGCCTTGCCATCCTGCCCTCTTCCTTTTCCTCCTCCTCCTCCTGCTACTGCTGCTCCTGCTCCTGCCCTGCCTGTCTCCCTCCCCTCCTCCTTCTCCCTTCCTCCTCCCTCCCTCCTCCTCCTCCTCCTCCTCCTCCTCCTCCTCTTCCTCCTTCTCCTCCCACTCCTGAGATGCAATTTGTTTCACACTGGGCGTTGTCGTTCAATCTCGGCTTCAATCGTATACGAATCACATACGAATCGTATACGGAACATGACCACGTTCGAGCTCAAGTACATGCGTTTAGCTGAGATCATGATCGGCCGTCGGCCGTCGGTGATCGGACCGATCGCATCCACTTGCTCAGATTCCCAGTGGGCGGCTTAAGGGAGCTCAGTGTACCCAAAAGTGATCTGATGATCTCTTCCTCAATCAAAGCCTTACTGAAACGACCCAACAACATCGCAACCACTTTGGACCGATCGCAATTGGTTGTGATCGGTCCGAGGTGGTCGACGATCGGTCCGGAGTGGTTGCGATCGGTCGTGCTCGCGAAGAGCAGGGCATTACAACGCAGTCGGAAACCAACCCTCGGACCTCCCCGTATCTCCCTCCTGCGCGAACGCCACGCACGACGACTCTCTTACGAGGAAACCAGCTATACACTTACACCGACCCCAGCTTGGCACATCGCGTGCCCCGACAATGGGCCCAGGATTGGTCTGGAGGGCGCCATGTGTAGAGGGCACTGCCGACACATCGCCATCTCCAGGGCCCAAGCGGTTCCGCCCGGGGGACCACTTCTTGCAGCCCGCGGTGTCCGTGTGCCTGAGATTCTCAAAGACGCGAGCGTGCAGGCATGCCTGAGGGCACGGGCGAACACACGCACACACACACACACATTGGACTGGCTTTCCCCTGCCCCCCATCTCTCCTCTACTTTATCACTGTTCTTCCCCTTCTCCCTCGCTCCTTATTGATACTCCTTCCTCCTCTTTCTCATTCCTGCTCGTTGCACTTCTACTCTTCCTTATGCCGCATGCCCATTGCTGGCTCAGTCAATGAGGGGAAGAGAGGTGGGAAGTGGGAACAGGGGCAAAGGAAAGTGCAATATGTAAACTTGACGGGGAGGATCAGGACATCCTACTCATCCCTCCGCATCCCTTCGAGCTTCGAGCTGCAGACCTCATCTTTC